TCTGTATCTATACCTTTTCAATCTGTATGCAGAACAGATCATCTGAGACGCTGGGCTGTATGAGGAGGAATGTGGCATCAGGATTGGTGGAAGAGTCATCAACAACCTGCGTTATGCAGATGACACAACCCTGCTTGCTGAAAATGAGGAGGACCTCATGCACTTGCTGCGAAGGGTCAAGGACTGCAGCCTTCTGTACGGATTGAAGCTCAACATCAAGAAAACAAAGATTCTGGGTCAAACAACTGGACCAATTGACAACATCAGTATGGACGGTGAAGAGATTAAGATAGCTAACAGTTTTAGTTTGCTTGGCTCCACAATCAATGCTCTTGGTACCAATGGCCAAGAAATCAAGAGACAAATTGCATTGGGACTTCTCCAGAATACTGAAGAGCAACAATTGGGGTGGAGACTAAGGTGTACCTGATCTGGGCTATAGTCTTCACAATTACATGCTATGCATCAGAGAGTTGGACAGTGACTAGGGGTGATAGAGAACTGATGCCTTTGAGCTGTGGTGCTGGAGAAAACTGTTGAATATACCATGGACTGCTAGGAGAACTAACAGGTTTGTCCTGGAGAGGGTGAATCCGGAACGCTCCTAGGAGTCAAGGATTCTGAAGCTTCATCTAACATACTTTGGGCACGTTGCAAAGAGGGACTGGTTCTTGGAGATGGACATCATGTTTGGGACAGTGGAGGGATGGCGCAGGAGAGGAAGACCCTCAATGAGACGGATCAACTCTGTGATTGGGGTGGGGGGAATGAGTGTGTCGGAGACGGTGAGGTTGGCACAAGATAGAGCAGGGTTTGACTCAAAGGCACATAACAACAACAACACACACATACAAACACACTTTAGAGTTTCCATAACAGAAACATATTAAAAGAAATATTCTTCCTACTTGTGCTTTTTAAGTAATGTATTTTATTTACTTAATTATACTTACGGGGGCTCTAGTGGCCTAGTGGTAAGAAACATCACAGCAATACCAAAGGCATGCAGTTTGAATCCACCAACTGCCTCATGAGAGAAGGCTGGATAATCTCCCATGCAATTAAACTACCTCTGAAATCCTGCTAGAGGATCAGCTATGAACAGGTCCTGACATGACGGCACACAACAAGAACAATCTGCTTATTTATTAAGTATTCATTTGTTTAAGCTTTAGTCTTGACATATAAAAGTATTTCACTTGTATGAGGACCAATTTAGCATTTGTTGTTTTTTGG